TCTCCCAGCGGACCTGTAGGACCACCCTTGTGTCTGTCCTCACACTGTGCACTTGCAGCTTTGTCAACAAGCAGAGCTCATTAGAGACAGCGCTCGGTTTTCACAGAGTTGGCCATGCAGGTATTGTACGTATTCCTTCCCTATCAGCTGACTAAATTTTAAACTCTAGAGGAAAGCATAAACAACATTGTACAAATAAGGTAGGCTCAGTAAAACTACACTTATCAAAGAATGGTAGAAGCTCTTGAAATTCAAGTTCCTAGATGCCAAGGAGCCTAGGCTGTAAGCAGTCGTGTCTATGGCGCTGGCTCAGGCCTGCCCTGCTAATTCTTTCCTGTATGTGCGTGCCCCTCTCTACATACATTGTTGGTATGATACTGTAAATGAGTCTCCCGGACTTCACATGTTTCATAGCAATCCAGAAATCCTGCTAAGTGCAAGATCTCCTTACCCTGGGCTGGGAAATCTTTTGTTTGTCCTATGGTGTGTTTTGGGACTTTCTTGAAGTTCATTTTTCCTTGTGGTCCTTGATTTGTCTTCCAGAGGCTCTCCCTTCCCTATTATCTTCCTGACCTGAAGAGGGCATTAGAACTATGTCACATATAGGGGCCAAACAGCTTTCTTAGTTTGCTTCCTGCCTGTAGAAAGTTAAAGGCCTGTATGTATTTGCTCAGATGAATCAAGGTGCTGGCATGGTGGATGCTCGCCTGTAATCCCAGAACTCAGGAGGCCACAGGAAGGAGGAGTGAGAACCAAGGCTGACAAACAATACAGAGTGTAACCCTATCGCAAACAAAGTCATATTACACAGTGGCACACCTTTGATACTGCTATTGCTGTGACTGCTTGCAGTTATTATTTAAATTTACATATATGTGTGAATAAGTGTTCTGTCTGCATGTATGGATGTAAACCTCTTCACATCCTGTAACTGCTGAGGCTGAAAATCTGATCTGAGAATGGTGAGCTGAGGGTGTCAGATCTCCATGGTGTTACAGACAGTTGTCAGCTGCCACGTGGGTGCTAGGAATTGAACCCTGGTCCCCTGGAAGAGCAGCCAATGCTCTTAACCACTGAGCCATCTCTACAGCACCCCCCTTTTATTATTAGCTGTGTAAAGGTATGTATGTCAGGGTGTAGGTGTGTGCATATGAGTGCAGCTGTCTAGACAGGGCAAAGGTGTCAAATCCCCTGAAGCCTGAGTTCCAGATAGTGTAAGCCACCAGCAATGGGTGCTGGGGATGAGCTAGTCCTCTGGAAAAGTAGCAAATCCTCTTAACTACTGAACCATCTTTCCAGCCCCCTACTTAGCGGTTTTTCATTGTTTCTTAATTGTTTGATTTGTTGGACATTTGGGTGGTTTTTATGCTGTGAACTTTGTGTTTGTGGATGTATTATTTTTATTTCTCATAGGCAAACCTTTTTATTAAGGTTTTTCTCCTACCTTCCTTCCTTCCTTTCCTTCTTTCCTTCTGTCTCTCTCCTTCCCTCCATTGTTTCATTCTAGAGTAATCCTTAATGTCTTGAAGCTCACTCTGTAGACCAGGCTGGCCTTGAACTCAGACATTGCCTGCCTCTGCCTCTTGTGTGTTGAGTTTAAAGGTATGTATTATCATTTCCAGCCTTTTTCTTTAGAGTCAGGTCCTCACTAAGTTGTTCTGGCTGGCCTCAAACTCTTGAGCTCTTGCTTCACCTCAACCTCCCAAGGAACTGGACTTGAGGTTTGTAACTTTACCTCTACCTAATTAAACCTTTGGAAGTACCTGTCAAAATTAAGAAGGCCTGGAACTTTCCAACTCTCTGGGTCTTAATTGACTTATGAGCCTGTCTGTAGGCAGGAAGCCGGTCTGAGAAAGCTGTTCAGTCCCCATTCAATGAGTGTGTTGTGCTTTGGCGAAGGCAGTAAATATTTGTGGCAGTGGAAACAGATAGTTACTTACTATTTTTTTATTCATTCTGAAACATATGCTGTCTTTCCTAAAAGTGGATTGCATGTTTCTTCAGTTGCCCTCTGAGGCAGGGCAGGCAGGCCTGTGACTGGTTTGAGCCTGTGGCGTAAGTGTAAGAGCAGTGCACTAGTGCTGAGCACAAGCTGCCTTTTTGCTCTGCTCCTCTGTTATGGGCACAAGCATGGCAAACACAGGCAGGAGCCTGGCAAACATGGCACTGGCAGGTTTTGCCTTTTACCCTTCTCCTCCTTGCTAAAAACCATTAGATTGCATTCCTAAAGCTGCCCTCCAAGGTCCATTCCCTTATTTGGCCTCTGCCTCATTCCTGAGACAAAACACCAAGGTCCAGCCATCAAAATTCATTATTTGGCTAATATGTCCAATTGGGATTTAGCAGCTCACCCTAGCACAGAGTCCCCTTTTTCTCCTTAAAAATCCCACCCCTGTCAACACATCTGCTTGCCGCTTGCTTGCTCTCTGCTGCTGCAGTTTGCTGTCTGCCTTTGCAGCCCGCACCCCTACCACCCTGTGCTGAGCACTGGTGTCCCTGTGTTCTGTACCTGCTGTGAGGGGCTGTCCTCCCTTACAATGATAACAGCACGCCCAGATAGGGAGTGACGTTCGTCTGGAACTGTGAAGATACAAGAGGACCGAGAGCAAAGCTGAGGTCTTGAATTAAGTAGTAACCTGAATTGGGGTTATGGTTGACTCAGAAGCCATGTGTTGTCTGCCGTGGTGGCGTATGCCTTGAGTTCCAGCACTCGGGAGGCAGAGGCAGAGGCAGGTGGATCTGTGAATTTGAGGCCAGCCAGGAGTAGGGGGCTGGAAAGATGGTTCAGTAGTTAAGAGGATTTGCTGCTTTTCCAGAGGACTAGCTCATCCCAGCACCCATTGCTGGTGGCTTACACTATCTGGAACTCAGGCTTCGGGGGATTTGACACCGTTGCCCTGTCTAGACAGCTGCACCCAGGAGTGATCTCCAGGACAGCCAGGGTTGTACAGAGAAACCCTGTCTTGAAAACAAAAACAAAAGAACCCATGCATAATGAAAGTGAGACATAAAACTTTGCCTTGTAAGGTATTGATATTTTGAGGGAGGGTTTTTTTTTTAATTTTTGTTTGCTTTTTTGGGGTGTTTGTTTGTTTGTTTGTTTGTTTTTGTTTTTCGAGACAGGATTTCCCTGTGTAACAGTCCTAGCTGGCCTGGAACTAGCTCTTGTAGACCAGGCTGGCCTCGAACTCACAGGGATTCACCTGCCTCTGCCTCCCGAGTCTTGGAATTAAAGGCATGTGCCACCACTGCCTGGCCTGAGGTGTTTTTTTGTTTGTTTGTTTTTTAAAGATTTATTTATTACAGATATTGTTTTCTGCCTGCATATATCCCTGCAGGCCAGAAGAGGGCACCAGATCTCATTATAGATGGTTATGGAACACCATATGGTTGCTGGAATTGAAATCAGGACCTCTGGAAGAGCAGTCAGTGATCTTCTGAGGCATCTCTCCAGCCCCTCAAATTAAATTTTTATTATGAATTAATTTATTTTATTTGTTTTTTTGAGACAGGGTTAGCCCTAGCTGTCCTGGAACTAACTCTGTAGGCTAGACTGGTCTCACTCAGAGATCTGCCTGCCTCTGCCTCCTGAGTGCTGGGATTAAAAACATAACACCATCACTGCCCAGCTTATTATTTATTTTTAATTAATTAATTAAATAAATTTTAATTTAATTGCTTCAGTTGCTTTATATGTTTATGAAAACATGCTTGTTTAGCACGGTAATAACAGCTGATAGTTGCTGTGCCCGTAGCACATACTAATCCCTTGGTGCTTTGGGAGCCGGGCAGTGGCGGCACACGCCTTTTATCCCAATACTCAGGAGACAGAGGCGGGCAGCACTCTGTGAGTTTGGGGCCAGACTGGTCTACAAAGCAAATTCCAAAATAACTAGTGTTATTACACAGAGAAACCCTGTCTTGATAAACAAACAAAAAAACCCCCAAAAAACACAAAGCAAAACAAAAACTCAAATACTACCACCACCACCACCAACAAAAAACCCTAAAACTATAAAACAGTTATATCATATTGGCACTAACAGTTGATTTATTGAAAAGTTTAAAACTACTTGGAATATGGTTATTTTCTGTTTAGAGATATGTATTTTATATGATAAATAGTAACGGCAAACCCTGAGTTTGTTTGCCTTTCAGTGCCAAGGATTGAGCCTGGGTATTGCCCGTTCAAGTTGTAGCTAACAGTGTGCCAAGTACGGCCTTGAGAGTTTTGTTTAACTGATCTAATGAACCAAAGGCTGATTTCCTAAGTTGTCTGCCATTCAGTACCGGAGCAATGGGTCTCATGCCTCTGGGACCATACTTCTGTGCTTCACAGCTCTGGTGGGGCTGCTTTCTCCCGGGTGCAGAGTCCACGTGTGTTCTGTGTTGCTTCATCAGGAAGGATTCCATGCAGATAGTTCAGTGTGCATGCTTCTAAGACATAACCCTCAAAACTCAGCAAATTACTATAATATAGCACTAGTAATTCAGAATGAGTGTTTGTAAGATAACTGCACTCTTTTTCAGTACTTTTAAAATCAATGGACATTTTTATCATGTGTTTTGTTTGTTTGCTTGTTTGCCCTTTTCAAAACAGGGTTTCTTTCTGTAGTTCTGACTGTCCTGGAACTCACTATGTAGACCAGGCTGGCCTCAAACTAAGAGGACTGCCTTCTTTGGCTTCTAAGGGCTAGGATTAAAGTTGTGTGCCACCACCACCTGGCTTTTTTCATGACTTAACAAGTTTTTAGTGTATTGTTCTTTAATTTTACACATATTTACCTTTTTGTGAAGCAAATCTCTGTAGTGTGCTCATCAGGTGAAATAGAACTTAATTAAAATAATTTTTCTTGCTGGGCGGTGGTGGTAAGCACCTTTAATCCCAGCACTCAGAAAGCAGAGGCTGCCAGATCTCTGTGAATTCGAGGCCATCCTGGTTTACAGAGCGAGTTCCAGGACAAGCTCCAGAGCTACACAGAGAAATCCTATCTTGAAAACCAACCCCCAAATAATTAATAAATAAAAAAATTATTTTTTTCTGTGTGTGTGTGTGTGTGTGTGTGTGTGTGTGTGTTTTGACATATGAGCACACATGGAGATCAGAGGTCAACTTTAGGGAATTAGTTGTCTCCTTCCACCATGTTGGTACCAAGGATTGAACCCAAGTCATCATGATTAGTGGCTAGTACATTTCCCCAGTAACCCTTCCTGCTGGCCCCCAGTCTCTGGTACCTCTTCCCTTGTTAGCATTTTAATTAGTGTGGTACATTTGTTACAGGTAATAAATACTGAGGTGTCACCCTTAAGTAAACCCTATATTTTATTCGGATGTTCTGACTTTTTGTCTTATGTGACTGAGCTCTCTGTTGGAGGAGTCCCCATCAGGTGGCCTATAGCATGGACTTCTATTAGTTTAACATTTTCTCATGCTTAGACTGGATTTCTTTGTTTGGGGGAGAAATCATTGAGTTAGGATGCTGTTTTAATCACTCTGCCTCCAGACCACGAGTCACCCCGGTTCCTCTTTCTCAGATTTATCATTTCAGCGTTTTGCGAAGGTGCTTATTGGCTGTATCGCGGCCGTCGTCAGTGGCGTGATGCATGTTTTCTACTTATCCGCATACCACGAGCGGAAATTCTGGTTTTCTAACAGGCAGGTAAGAAGAATTTTGAGCCTATGAAAAGCATTTTTATACTTATTATTTTGAATAATGTGTTTCTCAGGCAGTCATATGTATATATGGTAGATATGGAAAATACCATCTTATTTATAGGTATTAGCAAAATGTTATAAAAGCTCTTTTGAGACACAGTTACAATATCAGCCTCAAAATATAGAGTAAGCTGGGCATGTTGGTTAATGTCATTAATCCTAGCACTGGGAAGGCAGAAGTAGGCAGATTGCTTGAGTTCTAGGCTACTTTTGTCTACATAGCTAGTTCCAGGCTGACCAGGCTTTCATAGAGAGACCCTGTCTCAAATAAAATATAATAAGGTAATTCATAAAGTAAAAATTATTAGGGTGCTCTCCTTGTACAATTAATTTATCTGGGGCTGTTAGGAGAATATGGTTCGAGTGTATGAGAACTGGCTGCAGGAGTCAGCAGACCAAAGACAGACAGGTGGATCCAGTTGCAGGGCAGTTGATGGGGCTTGTGTGGATGTGGGTTGTGGGCAGTAACCAACAAGAGAGGTCTTAGGATTGGAATCCAAAAGAAGTGACAGAATGGTCAGAGCTATGCTAACTCCTTTTCCATGAAAGACACTGGCTCGTATTGAGCTAGTACCAAGAACATCAGGCACATATGGGGTGCTGATATAGGGAGGATGTAAGGCTAAGATTCCAGGTGCCCACTCTGATAGTTGTGTCTGTTTATAGTAGCTAAGAGACCGGGAACAGAGCAGAGCTACTCTGGAGAGCCATGGTCAGACCAAGCTGAATCTCTCTGGGGACTTGCAGTAAAGTCTGGTGGTATTGGTCAGCCTCTAAGGAGTTTTGAATTTCAGCATTAAGATACTTTAATGTTTAGATTATGTAGTTATACGTGTTTAATTTTGGAATTAGTTTATATAATTGCAGTTTTGGGGAAGGTTGGAGATGATTATCAGTACGACAGGATTTACATTTTAAAATGTTAATATTTTTAAATTTTAAATTGCATTTATTAATTTATTGTGTGTATATGTGTGGTATGATAGGTGCCTTGATCCACTGTATCATTTGACTGACTCCACTAACAGTGTTAAGATGTGGCCTCGTGGTTAATGTTTGGGGTTTGAAATTATGTGTATTTCCCAGAATCCTCAGTCCCTATAGTTGTGTCTGAATAAAGCTGCTCTCAGAGTGACTTGACTGTGGGCTTCTCAGAGTTCCGGTCTCACAGTCTGCTCTTGCTCAGGTTCGTCCCTGATTGATTCCGAGCCGGCGGCCACGCTGACCGAGAGCTCTCAGACCCTGGTTTGTAGAGAATGGATATGAGGAGTTACTCCTCCCAGCTGTATGTTGGTCACGTTAGCACAACAGCCGGTACTTTTTCCTTAAAAGTCTGGATCAAAGCTGGCGATTTCAAGGGCAGCCAGATTTGCACATTAAGTTCCAGAACAGCAAGACCTTGTCTCCAAAAAGAAAGAAAAAGAAAGAGAGAAAGAAAAGAAAAGAAAAAAAAGAATCTCTCTCATAGTTCTCCATGCCAAGTGTAAGGAAGTCGCCCAGGAACCGTCAGAAGGTGCCTTCCTCTCAGTTCTTCAGGCCGTCTGCACTATGTAGGACCAGGTCACTGTGTTGTAGGCAGAACTGAGGACACTGGAGTGAAGGTGCAGCCGTGTTCTGAAGAACATGGAATCATGTAGTGCGTACAGATAGGGACAGTGGCATTGAGAGCTTCTGCACAACTTGTGGAGCCCACTTTAGAATCAGTCTACATTTAGTAAACGTCATTCATTCATTTCAAGACAGAATTTCTCTGTGTAGCCCTTGCTGTCCTAGAACCAGCTCTGTAGACCAGGTTGGCTTCAAACTGAGAGATCATCTGCCTCTGCCTTCTGAGTGCTGGGAGTTAAGGTGTGCACCACCACACCCAGATAGTTAATAAGGTCTTTCTGTGTTTCACATGCACGGTTAATTTAAAAGATGATGATTAGAATTTCATCTTATAAATCTTGTAAAGAGACAAATCCGGTTCTGTCGTTCCTTTGTGTTTGAGACAAAGTCTTGTACTTACTCTGTTGATTAGGCTAGCCGGGCACTCACTGTGTATAAACTAGTCTGTCCTCAGACTTACAGTGGCCTGAGTTAGAAACGTGAGCTTCCATGCCCAGCTGCAAACAAATCTTCCATCCCCCAAAAGAATTTTTTTGTTTTTGTCTTTTTTGAGATGGGGTTTCTTTGTGTAGTCCTGGCTCTACTGGAACTTGCTTTGTAGACCAGGCTGGCCCCCAGAACTCATGGGGATCCACTTGCCTCTGCCTCCTGAGTGCTGGGGTTAAAGGTGTGCACCACCATGACCTGGCCTCAAAAATAATTTTAAGAGAAATTCATTTAGATGTGTCAGTATATTTGGGCTGTGAAAACAAAATACTGCAAATTGGGTTTGAAGGCCAGCATAGGTCACAGCAGATTTAGCATTTGGTGAGAGTCTGCTGCTTGTGTGCTCGTCTGTCTGTCTGTCTGTCTGTCTGTCTGCCCGCCCTCTTCTCTTACTTTCTAAGACAGAGTCTCATTATGTCACACTGGCTGGCCAGGACGTCACAGTTTGACCGGCCTCTGCCTCCAGAGTGCTGGGTTAGAGGTGTGTGTCACCAGGCCCAGCTCAGACATGCTTCTTGGTCCTGTGGCAGAGGGATGAGGGAACTCTGGGGCCTCTTCCATAAGGGCACTAACCCTGCTCGTGAAAGCTGTGTCCTCATGACATAACCACCGTCCAAATACCCTCTTTCAAATACTACCTATTACTGGGGATTGCATTTCAACATACAAAATTGAGCCCTGTCAGGGGACACTAACATCTAGACTCTAGCAGTTTCTAAATGGGAGAGGGGTTAATTGACCTGGAAGACATTTTCTCTTTGAGATTCACAGTAGAAAACATAAATGGGAAATGAAAAAGTTTTACAGTAAAGAAACTCATAAGACCATTTAATCTAATTCTTTTCAAACATAGCTGCACACTGTTTGTATTTTAACAGTTACTTAAATGTTCGTCTTGCTATGTAGCCTGAGCTGACCTTGACTCTCAGTCTTCGGGTTTGACCCTTTAAGTGCTAGGATTACAGACTTGAGCTTCAAACACTCAATTTTTTATTTGTATTTATTTGTTTATCTTACATGTGTTTGTTTAGGGCAATTAGAGGACAACTTTCTCCTTCCAACATGTGGCTTTTGGGGCTCAAACTCAGGTTATCAGGTTTGGTGGCAAGTGCTCTTACCAACTGAGCTATCTTGCTGATCCCAGGACTCTTTAAGTAACACTCAGTGAAGCTATAAGAAGTTAGAACTTCGGAAGACTGCTCATAGGGGCTTGAGTGTCGACGGAGTCTACTAGTTCATTTTCCAACTGCCCTGACTCGAAATAATTACACTGGACTATATTATTTAAATCACTGCTTGGCCAATCACTTAAATGTATTGCCAGCTAGCTCTTATGTCTTAAATTAACCCATTTTTATTATTTTATGTTTTACCATGAGGCTTGTGGCCCTACCGGCAAGATTCCAGCGGCTCATGTCTTTTTCCTCTGGCAGCTCTGTGGTTTCTCCTTGACTCCGCCTACTTTCTCTCTATATATGTCTTTTCCAGCCTGGCTATATTCTGTTACGCCATTGTCTGAAAACAGCTTCTTTATTCATTAACCAATAAAAGCAACACATAGACAGAAGAACTTCCCACACCATTTCCCCTTTTCTGTTCAAATAAAAAGGAAGGTTTTAACTTTAACATAGTAAAATTACATGTTAACAAAACAGGTATCAAGCAAGAATTACAGTTACAATATTTATATCTACGTTATCTTTTAATATAACTAAGGAAAATTATAACTTCTTCAATTCAATCAAAGACTCCAGAAGAATATAATATTACCTAAGTTAACAGGAAGTACATTGTAAACAACTTCCAAAAACTTTAAAATTGACAGAGATATCTTGCTACCTAGACAGTCACCCAGAGTTCTGTAACATTGAGGCCTCCATCTTCAGCCTAGAGGCCCATAGTACCTGGCAGACTTTTCCCTGGAGCAGGAAATTTCAGAGACAGTTCTGCCTATATTGGCAGTTTGTCAGTCACTTTCTTCTGTGTCCTGCAGAATGCCTGGCAGACTCATTCATGAAGCAGGAGCCCTGAAGGACTGTCTCACCTTCCTTAGGCAATTTCAGCAGTCATTTTTCTGTGGGTCCTGCACATCCAGTTTATATAACATACCATCAAACAGTTCAGGCAAGAGTGGTTTCTTGCCCAAATGGCTAACAAAACTCTATAAAGAGCCTCTTTGATGCCAATCTTCCTCTTGAAGTAGATTGGTGCTGCAAGGAGCAGATGAATCTCATTGTCATGAAAAGTCCTAAGTTCTTAAGGCATTTTTAAATGTCATATTCTGTTAGTCTTTGAAAGACTTGAAGAATAACTATCCATCTGAAATATATCTCTGTACATCTAGAAAGTCTAACTAACATGACTATTATAAGTGGATATTTTTTATTTCAATTTTTTAAAAATTTTGCAATATTTATATATGCATAATCAGATGTCTTGGTGAGGGGTTCCAAGCCTAAGCACAAATTCATGTATCATGTAGTTTTATGCATGTTGTCTAGGGTATTTTTGCATTTCTGTTGTGCTAGCTTTTTACTGTTCTTCCACAAAGTCAGGGTTCAGCGTTTTCCACTTGCACCAGCATGTCCACACACACAAGTTTAGCCACTGGAACAATTGAAATGCAGATTTTGGAGCTGAGTGTGGTGGCTCATACCTTTAATCCCTGCACTCGGGAGGCAGAGGCGGGCAGATCTCTGTGATTTTTGAGGCCAACATGGTCTCCAGAGCGAGTTCTAAGACATCCAGAACAGGTTACACAGAGAAACCCTGTCTTGAGAAAAAACAGTTCAGAATTTAAAGTATTCTTGCTTAACTGTGTGTGAACACAGCTTGATGTAAGGAGATGGTCTGCTCAGGCCTGCGACTGCAGTGCAGGGTTCAGAGCTCTTGACGCCATTGCCAGGCGTAGGGTTTGGCCCCAATACAGGAGGAAAGAAGATTATGGCAGAACAAAAACTGACTTAGCATTAAAGAATATAAAGCATTCTGATCATGCTTGTTTGTTTGAGATTGGGTCTCACTGTGTATTTTCTGGTTAGACTGGAACTTGCTAACAGAGCAAGCTCGCGTCAGCAGAGATCCGCCTGCCTCAGCTTCTAGAGCCCTGGAGCTAAAGGGGCGGCATCACACCTGGCTTTACCCTTGTGGTTTGGTGTGTCTTTTTGTGAGTGCTCTGTCTGCATGTCTGCCTGCATGCCAGAAGAGGGCATCAGATCCCAGTGCAGATGGCAGGGAGCTGGGAATTTGGGTGCTGGGAATCCAACCTGGGTCCTCTTAACTGCTGAGCCCCCTCTCAAGCCCCTACCGTTACAAGTTTTTTCTTTTTCTTTTTTCCAAATGTCACACACTGTGTAGATGCACATGTGTGTCTGTAGAGGAATCTTCATCTGCCTTCCACCATGTTCTTTGGGGCAGGGTCTCTGAAACCCAGAGCTAGCCAATATGGCTGGCTAAGCTTGCTCCGAAGGTCCCATCTCTGCCTTCTGTGGCTGAACATCCAAGGTGGGCCGGCCCACTTCACAGTTTCATGGGTTTGGGGATCTGAACTCTGGTCCTCTTGCTTGAGCAGCAAGCGCTTTAATAGCCAAGCCATCTCCCCAACCCCATTATCTTCTTAATTGCTACTTTTTTTGGTTCTTTATAGTCAAACCTTAGGCTTCTTTTCTTTGTGATGTGAGGATTGAACCAGGACCTGCAAGTCCTCTACCATGGAGCTGCACGTCCAGCCTCTTAGAGACTTAGAAAACACTGATTAAGAATCTGTGGTTTCTCAAATGTACCTGTTAAGGCCTCACTCTTATCAGTACGTAAGGTTATATATAGTCACAGAAAATACTGCTTTCTGCATTAATTTATCTTCTTATTTTGGACTTTTTGTTTTTAAAGTCATTTAATACTTTTTTTTTTTTAAATGGCCCACCCAGGATCTGAATCCCGTGGGAATTTTTTAAAAAAAATATTTATTTATTTATTATGTATACAATATTCTGTCTGTGTGTACGTCTTCAGGCCAGAAGAGGGCACCAGACCTCATTACAGATGGTTGTGAGCCACCATGTGGTTGCTGGGATTTGAACTCAGGACCTTTGGAAGAGCAGGCAATGCTCTTAACCATTTAAGAGATGGCTGGAGCCATCTCTCCAGCCCCCCATTTAATACTTTTTGATATGGAGTCATACCAAGTAACTCAGGCTGGTCAGGAATTCACTATGTAGCTCAAGCTAGTCTCAAACATGATCCTCCTGCCTCACCCTCCTGAGTGCTAGGACTGTGTCTGGCTTTATTTTCAATCCTGACATGAGTTTATTGCTATTACCTTTTACCACTATTGCTGTTTTTAGATATTCTTTGGGTTTTCCTTCTAGAATTTCCTTATATGTAAGACATAATGAGGTACCAGTTGTAATTCATTTGAAACCTTAAGTGTTTTTACTAAAATGATTGCCAGACTATTGAGAAATTTAATCTTAGTAATATGGTAATTAAGGAAAATTCAAGTATCTCCTGGAATATAATGGTAAATCCTTATTATGTCAATTTAAAATATGAAGGCGAGAAGCAAACCAAACACAAGAAGATGAGGGAAAGGAAAGAGTACAGCTGGCATTTAACACTGGCATCTCAATACTTGTTTTCTTGTAGGAACTTGAACGAGAACTCACATTTCAGGGTGACAGTGCTATGTATTACTCCTATTATAAAGACATGTTAAAGGCGCCGTCGTTTGAAAGAGGTATGGACACCTACACTTGTAATTATTGTAACATTGTTCTAAATAAATCACTGTTCTTAGAGATTAAGAGATTTAGGAGGGGGAATTTGTCTTAGAATGTAGGTTGTGTTTATGTACATGGTAAGAACGCTGGGGAAATGAGGCACCCCGTTGCACTTGAGTGCCTTTCTTTCCGTGTTAATCGTGGTGACTGATTAATCACATGGTGATTGAGTGCCATGCAGAGCCGTGGTCAGAGCAGAGCAGTGGTCAGAGAGAACTCTCTGTGTTTAGGTGTTTACGAGCTGACGCACAACAACAAGACCGTCTCCCTGAGGACGATCAACGCGGTGCAGCAGCTGTCTGTGTACCCGGAGCTCATTGCCAGTGTTCTCTACCGCGCAACGGGGAGCCATGTAGGTGGTGCTCTTTACTCTACACTTACTTCATGTGTGTCAGTGTTTTGCTTGCATATCTGTATGTGCAGCACATGTGTGCCTGGTGTCTTCAGAGTTCAGAGGGCATCGGATCACAGGGGTTTTCAACCTATGAATCGCCACCCCTTTGGGGGGTCACATATCAGATATTTACATCATAATTCATAACAGTAGCAGATTTACAGCTATGAAGTAGCAGCAAATTTATTTTCTAGTTGGGGTCACCACAGCACGAGGAACTGTGTTAAGGGTTGCAGCATTAGGAAGGCTGAGAATCACTGCCCTAGAAGGCACAGGTGGCTGTGAGTCACCTGTGGACTCTGAAACGGAACTGAGGTCCTCTGCAAGAAGAACCTTTCCAGCCCCCCTCTTTTTCACTTTATTGTCCGTTTTCTCACACAGCTGTGTATCCTTGGGTTGTTTAACGTCATCCTCTGTCTCATCCCCTCTCTCTGCCTTTAGGAGATGATTGAACCAGTGTATTTCTACATTGGCATTGTCTTTGGATTACAAGGAATATATGTGACAGCTTTGTTTGTCACAAGTTGGCTTATGAGTGGCACATGGCTCGCAGGAATGCTTACTGTTGCGTGGTTCCTAATCAATAGGTATGAAAGGTTTTCTTATTGATACTACAAAATTTTGTTCCAAAAATATTTCCATCCTTACAATTCACAGCTATAATCTGCAAAACCTATTGATTGTTATGCTATATGGTACAGCTTAGGTAGATTCCCCTGAGGATCTAATCTAGATATGATCACTTATAAAGCAGGTCTGGAAGCTGGGCAGTGGTGGCACACACCTTTAATCCCAGCACTTGGAAAGCAGAGGAAGAAGACAAGTCTATGTGAGTTCAAGGTGAGTTCCAGCACAGCCCAGGACTGTTTTACAGAGAAACCGTGTCTCAAAAAAAAAAAAAAAATAGGAAAAAGCAGGTCTGGGAAGCTGGTTCAGTGGTTAAAGCATTTGCTGTGCAAGCGTGGGAACTAGAGTTTGGATTCCCAAAGCCTGTGTAGATGCTGGGTGGACGTGGGCCTGCCTGGGATTCCAGCTCTCAGAAGTCTCCCTAGAGCCAGTTGGTTAGCCAGTCTTGTCACATCGGCAAGCTCTCCGGTGATCATAAGACCCTACCTCAACGAGTAAGGTGTGGCACAGTCGCAGAAGGGTCCTGAATCAACATGACTCTTTACACGTGGTTACACATGTGCTCCTGTACACATGACAGCACACACAGGTATATATGCACACCACATATACGCATGAGGGTAAAACAAAGCAGAAAGGGTTCTCTAGCGACAGAAGTGGTGACATTGAAGAGATTCAAAGATGGGTAGGGTTCACTGGGCCACAGCTGGCTGGAAGCAAAGAGAGGTGAATTCTGTGAGCAAGTGGTGAGTGTGTGAGAAGGTGAATGCTGGGAGCACGTAGTGAGTGTGTGAGAAGGTGAATGCTGTGAGCACGTAGTGAGTGTGTGAGAAGGTGAATGCTGGGAGCACGTGGTGAGTGTGTGAGAAGGTGAATGCTGTGAGCACGTAGTGAGTGTGTGAGAAGGTGAATGCTGTGAGCACGT